TATGCATGATTTAACATATGACAATGAAGACTAAACCAATAATTGGAAATAATAGATTGTTAAACATATAGTCCTTGAGTGACTATGAAAATATTCATATCTCAGTTTATATAATAAAACAAATTTCATTATAAAATATCAAAGAAGGAAATATAAGTGACAACTCATTTTGTTTCTGGATAGAAAAGGACTTTAATAGAAAAAAATGTAAAGGAAGAAATTGAAAAATTTTGTTTTTTTCTTCCTGACATTCTCATATTTAAACAAATCCTTTTTACTTTATTTCCAAAACACGTGTATTACTTACCTAAAATTTCTTCTCCATCTTTCCTACAACTGCCAAAAAGACGTCTACAGCTGAACTATCACAACAGTCTCCTAAGTGATTTTCAGTTTCCTGAAAGCTTACCCCATTGGTCTTGCTATAGCCAATTGACACTCTAAAACATAACAGTTATTTCTTGACATTTAACACTCACTATGGGCTATGTGCATTTCTGTTTATTTTTTCTATAGTAGTACCTTGATCTTTTATTTTTAAAGATGTATTAGTTTATTTGAAAGTCAGAGTTTTAGAGAGCATGGACAATAGAGAGACAGAGGCAGAGACAGAGACAGAGAGAGACAGAAAGGTTTTCCATCTGCTGGTTCACTCCTCAAATGGCCACAACACTAGTTATGGGTCAGGCTGCAGCCAGGAGTTTGGAACTTCATCCAGGACTCCATGAGGGCAGCAAGGATATAAGCCCTTGAGCCTTCTGCTGCTGTTTTGCCAAGCACATTAGCAGAGAGTTGGATAGGAAGTGGAATCGCTGGGACTTCAACTAGCACCCATATGGGGTCCGCTGCGCCACAATGCTGACCCCTCTAATCGTACATGGATCTTAAGTTATGGATATTATTCCCAAGTTAATAAACGTAAAGTTAAGTAATGTATTAGTTTATTTAAAATGTGCTAATTTAACAAAGTCTTAAAGTTGGAGAGTGAAAAGGCAAGATTTACAACCAGGCAGTTACATGCACAACCTATAGTCTAACCTCGGTACTGTACTATCTCTTAGAAGCAACTTTATGATTTTAGCCAGAATGTATAATTCAGGTTTGCACAGCCTATCAAGCTCTACATGAGGTGACTGCTTGCCTTACTCTAGCTCATTTTCTAGAACCTCCTACCCACTCATTCTTCCACCTTCAAAAGTACCATCCTTCCACTGGTTTCCTTGCACTTGCCACACTTGTTCTCACTAAGTATCCTCTGCTCTTCCAATGCTGTTTCCTATCCCTTAAGTATTAATTCCTTCTAAATAAATTATCCTATATAAAGTAACTCCTACTCTATATACAAGGGGTTATTACAACAACCTGTTTATTCTTCATAGTACTCATCGGCATAATTTTCTTTTCCTATTTGTTAATAAGTTTACTTTTTGTCCTCCCAAATTAGAATGTAAACTTTGTGAAGTCAGGTGTTTTGCTGTTCCTGATTAATTAGTCTGTGACCAAGAACAACTTTTTAACAGATATTAAATTAATGAAGGTGTTAATGAGTGAGACATCGAATAAACATGTAAAACTGTTGTATGCTAAAGAAAATGCCATTAGGACTCTCAAACTCCTCTCAATTATTCTGTAAACTCAAAATAATGTTTATTAATTAAAATATAAAATAATATTAAAAATTATTTTCAACTTTACACTATAAAGAAATAAATTCTTTGTGAATTTTTAGAATTCATTTACATATGAAGCATCAATACTCTTATTTATTCATTTATTTATTTATATTTTTAAATTTAAGAGTCAGTGTGACAGCGAGAAGGAGGGAGGAAAGGAGAAATGGAGAGAGACTGAAAAGTCAACTACCATCCACTGGTTCACTCCCCCAAATGATTATAATGGATATGGCTAGGCCAGGCTGAAATCAGACACTAAAAACACAATCCAGGTTCTCCATGTGGGTAAACAGGGACTCAATCAAGTGACCAGTCACCGGCAGCTTCCCATGATTTACATTAGCAGGAAGCTGGAGTCAGGAGATGTAATTGGCATCAATCCCAGACACTTCTACAGGAAATGCAGGTGTTTTAACTAACATTTTAAATGACAGACTAAATGCCTGTCCCAATACTCCTGGCTTAATAATGTGTAAAATGATACTAAAGATTTATGTATTGCGTGTATGTTGAATAAGGGTATGAAATAATTTAAATTGCAAGTATCTTCCCCTTAAAAATTGATGTTGTCCTGATTGAGATGACAGAAAATACAAATAAATAAATGTATCCCAATATAAAATAAATCCCAATATATAAAATGTATCCCAATATAATAAATGTATCCCAATATATAAATAAAAATAGTCCAAGTAATAAGAAATGATAAGGAGAAAATAAAGTAAGAATATAGAATGCATAGATGTTTATCAGAATAATTGTTAATATTTGCTAAGTATATACTCCTAAAAGCATGTATTGAAGTTTTTATAAAAATTATTTCATTGAATTCACACAAAACCTATGAAGCAATTTATAGAATCTTAGTATTTCACACATTGAATCTGAGTAATTCTCCACCAAAATATGGCCTGGATGCTCCATTCTTAAAAAGCAACTGACTACATCAGTGTACATATATATATTAATATATATATATATATTATAATATATATTATACATAATGAATGAGTGAATAATTAATTGAATATTTTCTATTTGGCTGAAGTCATCAAGTTATATTCAAAATTACTGTTGTGTTCAAATTTCTTTTTTATAAACACAATAAAATCATTCATATGAATTAATTCTTAAGTTACTCTTTAGAATATGAAAAGTTATATCTTATTTGCTCTATTGAGCATTTAGAAATGAGGTATTTATTTTAATGTATTCAATTATTTTAACACTGTTATGATGAAAGTATAATATTCTATGTTCAAAATTACCACACAAAACATGAAAGTAAACATTTTCACTCTTGGAAGATTGTACTTATAATTCATAACTAGGTAAAACAAAGTCATCTAGAATACTCTATTCCTTCAGGTTTTACTAATTTACTCTGTCCATTGCTCATTGTGAAAACAACTGCAGGGTGGGCATTGACAGAGCCATTAAGACCCCCTTGAAACGCCTGTGTCCCATGATCCTGGCCATCCTTGGTTGTTGCAGGCCTTCGGTGAGTGAGCCATCTGAGGGAAGATCATTATTCCTTTCTCTCCTCTTCCCTTCCTTTCCCATCCTCTCCCTTCCCTCCCCGGCCTTCCCTTCCCATTTCTTTCCCTTGCTTTTTTTTTTCTCTCTCTCTCTCTCCAAAATGAAAGTAAAATTAAAAGTGCACATTTCAAAATAAATGAAGCTATGATACTTGTTTTTAGCCCTTGTTTATACTCTTGTGGAATGGTGCTCTTCCTAGTTTTTATTTGTTGAATATTATGGTTAGTGGTGAATTAAGCCTGTTATTATGGAGTGATTGAAAGTATGCTTTGCAAAATTTAAAGAAAATAAAAAAGGAAGGAAGGGAAGGAGGGAGGATTGGAAGGAGGGAGGAAAGGAAATATGGTTATTTTCTAAGAACTGTACCTATGAAATACATGAAATATGTTATCTTAATATTAAAAAAGAAAACTATAACATTGAAGCTTACTCTGAAGGTAATAGCCCATTTTCTTAAGTTTGTCTTGTAATCCAAATCAGAATCGTTCACAGGTAATCAATGGGAACAAAAAAGAAAAGGAAGAAAATAGACATACAAATACTGATAGAAGACAGAACAGCATTTTTTTTTCTCAAACATTGTTTTTTTTTTATCTCAAAATAGGACTGTTCCACCACTAAATTTAGAAATATCTATTTCTGGGAAATAAATTTAGAAAAACATGTATTACATATGTTTGTGTTGCAAATGAATAAACCATGTATTTCACTGAATGAGTAAATACGTAGCTAAAGTAATAGGATAGAGTTATCCTGCCTGTCTACGAAAACTGGACAAATAAATATAAATTATATCATTTCATTGTTTTATTCAGATATTTTGAAAGAGATAAATTCAACATTGTAGAAAAATGTATTACACCATCAAATTCCAAAGGTAAATATAAGAATGTGAATATAATTGTGTATTTATAATCATACTGGGACATGAAATCTCCCATCATAATAATATTATAATTATAATTAAAATTAAATATATAACTATACTAGTTTCTATTAAAATTGTTAATGTATCAGATGTACCTGGGGGGGAAAAGACACATTATTTTCATTCTGATGTGTGGCCAAGCTGATAAGAAGCAGTTAACAATACAGAATTGTAATGTGTTGGTTTTATGTAGCAGGGGTGTGAGAATGAATTCATTAAAGGAATCAAAGATACCTATTTTCAGTTATTTTTCTATGTTAACAAATAAATGCTGTTCCAAAATGTTCACTATGCTAAAATAGAATCTAATGGCAATTACTAACCTTTGTATCTCATTTAAAAACTTGAATTAAAAATAATGAATTCAGGCTTTTCATAAATACTTCCATTTTATAATTTCTCTTGTAAGAAATACCTGTTCATATAAAACTATAAATACAGATGACAAATTACCAGGACACTTTCTCCCTAAACTTAAGCACTATCGTTTATTATTCCAGATCATTTTCTTATCCTACCTATGACCCAGTGTATTTTTAAGAGTAATAAGAGTCAAGTTGAAGCAAAGTAAATATCAGTGGTGTTTGTCCTCCTTCCCTCTGTAGGCATGGATCACTTCTTAATCTGTACTTTACATAATATACGAAGAGCAAGGGTGCTTCATGCCTCCACCTTGTGTCCCTTGGAGATGTAAAGGCAGTGGTGCCTTCGCAAAATCATCTCTATCTAAACACATTTTCCCTGGAATCCTTAAAGTCAGTAAGAGATATAACCATGGACAGGCATGCTAAAAGTATGCTTCTTTTACTTCACTCACCTTTATTTATTTTACAATGAGACAACATTGTTTTCTTTAACTGCTTTCACACCAGCATTGATGAAAACAGACATAGGGAAAGAACTAGAATTGGGGACACATACATAGTCAATATAGCAAACGTTCAGCCTGTCCTGATTATTACAAAATCAGAACAGAGAGCATATTTGCAAGAAATAACATGTTTTTATTTTACATGTCGAAGGTGTATCGGCTCCACTACAGAGAGGGTTCAACAAAATAAACAGTGAAAAGATCATAGGAAAATAACATGGGCTACACAAATAATTCCAGGAAAAATGTCCAACTTTACTCATATAGGGTAAATTTTAAAAGTCATTAGTAAACAATTCAATAATATTGATATGTGTGTTATCAAAAATATATTACTTCCCCTTTGCCTTCAATATCCTTTATGATTACCCCTAAGCTAAAAAACAACTAACTGGTATTCTTTACTTATAATTCTGCCAACTTCAGAATATACATAAGCATTTAATTTATAACTTGGGCACAGGAAGAAATTAGTAAGACTAACTAATACCAACATAGATCAAAGGAAAGTATTTTTTAGACTATGACATTTAGGATCATTCAGGTCATAGCTGATATTTAGCAGTGAGATCAGAGATCAGTCTTCTTTGAGAACTTTGTGTAGAACAAGTCTGTTTGCTTTTTTCTGGAGGTTTCTATGTGTTTGCCTTCAGAACATGATTGCTGCCCTTAACAGAAAACCGCATGCCACCAGAGAAAGAAGCTGAACCTGTCCAGATTCTTTTGTTAGTATTTTCCTTCAAATTTCCCCCAAGGTCTATTCAGGAGTTTGTCTGAACTCATTCTTCCTGAACAGGAGGTGACAAAATAGACTTTGCAACAAGCTTCAAAATCTTGTCTACAGCAAGATTTTGGACAGCCAAGGGGTTCAGTACATCAATGAATAAATTATTCTATAATCATTCCTTTGAACACTTACCAAAAACAATTTAGTTTTACTGTGGAAATAGAGTAACAGTAGCTAATGAAAAAAATTCTGAAATTTCTCTTTTGTTTTCAGTGAACATAGGAATAGATAGAATGTACATGGAATGATTTGAAATCTCATTTTCATTATTCAATTTAAAAATATGATTAACCTTAAAAAGATACAGATTATGTTGAGACTCTAAAACATTGATTTTTTTTAAAGATTTATTTATTTATTTATTTGAAAGGCACTGTTATAGAGAGGCAGAGGCAGAGAGAGAGAGAGAAAGAGAGATCTTCCCTCCGATGGTTCACTCCCCAAATGGCTGCAACGGCCAGAACTGCGCCAATCCTAAGCAAGGAGCCAGGAGCTTCTTCCGGGTCTCCCATGTGGGTGCAGGGGTCCAAGCACTTGGGCCATCTTCCACGGCTTTCCCAGGTCATAGCAGAGAGCTGGATCGGAAGTGGAGCAGCCGGACCTCGAACCGTCGCCCATATGGAATGCCTGCACTTCAGGACAGGGCGTTAACCCACTGCGCCACAGCGTAGGCCCCTTAAAACATTGATTTTTATGGAGAATGTTGTAGCTTATAACTTGAAATTTGTGACCTTATTTAAAAGATACAAAATTTCACCTCCTAATGCTTAGTTTCTCTAGTACAGAAAAGTTATACGGAACACCTCAATGTAAACACACATGTATACCAGAAATTATCTATAATTAAAGTAACAGATTTTTGGAAGGGTGTAGAATAAAGGAACACATACTTAGTTTTAAGCTTGTTAAAGAGAGAGATGGTTTTTTATGATGTTTTTAAGAAAATAAATACCGACTGTGCTGCTAAAATGGCAGAATAAACAGGTTGTTCATGAATGTAAAATTATTTCTTTTAAATGTTGCTTTCATTTATTCTATAATGCATTAAAGGTCTGTTTTTATTATCAAAGCTTAGTGGAACAATTTATTCATCAAATTTAATTCTAATAGTGCAGAGTTTCTTACCTTCTGTTCATTTGAATATTTTGATTCCTGCAGTTTATGTTTAAACAACTACTTCTTTCCTGTGTGATGCTTTATAAACTCTCAGTACCTCAGAAATGCTATTATATTATGGATAAAATAAATAGGAGGGGTTAGGAGAAGGTCAATAATATTCCTTAAATTGTTCCTTGCCTAAGAAAATAAAATGAAATTATTTTAACTGTTGGAAGTATCAGGGCTCTTTTGAGTCAAACTCCATTTTCCATTTGTTTACTGTCTCAGAAAACCTGTCAACCGATTTGCATGCAGACACCTCATTATAATTTTGAGTGTATGTGAGTGTTTTCATAGTTGTGATCTTCCAGTATAAGGTCTAGGTTTTGGGATGCAAAAAGCACATATTTTATGATATTATAAAAATAATTTCTGGAAATAAGGATTCATTTTATTTAAGCAAATATATATCTCACATTCCAGGACATTCTCTGAAAACTCTATTACAAAAAGCCCTTTTGGGGCCGGAGCTTTGGCACAGCGGGTTAAAGCCCTGGCATGAAGCTCCAGCATCCCATATGGGCACCGGTTGGAGACCCTGCTGCTCCACTTCCGATCCAGCTCTCTGCCGTGGCCTGGGAAAGCAATACAAGATGGGTCAAGTCTTTGGGCCCCTGCACCCCCGTGGAGACCTGGAAGAAGCTCCTGGCTCCTGGCTTCGGATAGGTTCAGCTCCGGCCATCTGGGGAGTGAACCAGCGGATGGAAAACCTCTCTCTCTGCCTCTCCTTCTCTCTCTGTGTAACTCTGACTTTCAAATAAATAATTATTTTGTTTTTAAAAAAGCCCTTTTAATTTTGTGTGTCCACCTGAGAATTGTCAGAGCTTTCACAGAAATCTCTGAAAAGTTACTTGTCTGGCAAGTGTTCTTGTTATTGGGATGTGGAAGCTTTCTAGGCTATTTAGAGCATGGACAAGGCTGATCACAAATAAATGAAACAACAACAAAAAATCAAAGTGAATTATTTTTAGACTTGATTTCTTATACCAAGTATAATTTACAAATTTAGAACTCGAATACTTACTGTATTTCTCTGTCTGAGTCTTATAACTTAATTTTTAACAGTAGCAGCATTGTAATTTAGGTAGAATGAATGATTATTGAAACAATCCTTAATAGTTTTCACATAAATGATGATTGGTCTGGCATTTCATAACACTTTCCCTTATATGCCAGTTGTTTAAAGTGTCATTACTTTATGTGATTGCTGCATCTACAGTTAAAAGCATAAACTGTTTGAGGATAACAATTGTGTGTTGCTTATTTTTATTGTCCCTTAAATTAATAATATTACAGCTTTTAATATTAAACTGTAAGTACTCCATGAATATTGGATGAATGGAAATGAATAATGCATAGCATTTATGAGCTGAGTATTTAAATATGATGCGAGTTTAGTCAACAAAAGGAAGTGTGATCACGTTAATCAGCCCTGAATAGGTCTAAAATGGACCTGTATGGAATAAATATAGTGAAAAGAAGAAGAAGCAAAACAGGAAAACGGGAGGAAAATGAGGGGATTGGACTGACGCAGTGAGGCTGAGGCTGCCCAGGCAGTGGTGATGGTGATCAGCAGCGAGGCAGGCAGAGTGGTGGTGGACAGCAGAGGAGAGGACAGTCCTAGGCAACAATGAACAGAGTCCTAAGGCAAGGGCAGTCTTGAGTGATGGACTCATCCTAGGGAAACTAATCTAAGTAGAAATATCTGCAGTACATCCTGAGTGCCAAGCGCCTAAGGATTTCAGAGTGGGAAAAAAAAAAAAAAAAAAGAAGAACAAAATGATTACAACAGAGAGACAGAGAGAAAGCCACTAAAGAATGAAGAATCCTAAAACAGCCCTGACACTTGAAACCAAAAATTTCTACCATTTCAAACATCACACTCCCCTCTCCTGAAAAAAATGGGCCAAACTGACCCTTCTTCCTTCCTTCCTTCTTTACTCCTTCCCAACTCCCTCTCTCCTTGCCTCCCAACATCACTTCCTTCCTTGTTTCTTTCATTCTTGTCTCACTTTCATCCTTTTAAAGTCAATGACTCAGAATGAAACATGCAATTCCTAGCTGACTTTAGACAAAAACATCAAATCCCCTAACTCTCCCTCCGCAGCTCCATGTCTCATTGGAAGAAATCCCATAGATTTTTAATTTGCACACTGGAGTTGAATTTGTAAAAGTGTTGATATGACAAGTGTTAATCAACATTTTGGAAACCTTCCTTTCCTGAGACATAGTAACTATGGGCCATTAAAACAGAAGAACGTAGTCTCAAGGGCAACCAGCAAAAATTAATTTACTGTTTCTTAATTGGAAAATTAAATTAAATACTATTACTGATCCCAAGGGCAAAGAAATTTGAAGCAGTCTAATGTAATCACTAAAATGTTGGAGTGTCCAGCATATAAGTATTTTAATGAAAGGATGTTTGTTTTTCTTCCCTGATCCTCTTAGGTTCTAAACAAATTTTTACAATAGTCTTATTAATCAGTATGATAGGCAAAATAAAGGCCTCCCCAAATCTTTACCCTAATCCCTAAAGGTGTGAATGTTTCCTTAAATGGAAGAGGAGAATTGAGGTTAATAATGGGCTCAAGGTCACTGATCAGTTGATACTAGAATGAGGAGACTACTCTGGATTATCAACCAGGGAAACACATATGACACAAATTCAGTGTATCAGAAAGGACCTTTGAACATGGGAAAGGGGAGCAAAAGAGATTAGGGTGATGCCATGTGCACTGGAGTGGATCCACCACTGCTTTTGAAGTAGGAAGGGGGCTGCAAGTCAGGGAATTCCGTGATCTCTGACAAACAGCAAAGGTAAGAAGACAGGTTCTCCCTTAAAGCCTCTGAAAAGAACCTGTATTGTCCAATGCTTGCTTTGCAGTCAATGAGACACATTGTGGAATTTTAACCCTCAGAATTGCAAGACAATGAAATTGTGTTGTTTTAAATCACTACATAATATGATAACGGTTTGTCACAGTGTGCATAGGAACCTAATATATTCTGTGTGGTTGTTATGAACAACAGAAATGGTTGAGTCACATGAAAAAATAATCAGGATCAGTAGCTATCAGGGAAATGCAAATCAAAACCACAATGAGGTTTCACTCACCCCAGGTAGAAAGGCTTTCATACAGAAATTAACAACAAATGCTGGCGAGGATGTGGGGA